GTGTGTGTGTGTGTGTGTGTGTGTGTGTGTGTGTGTGTGTGTGTTTATTAAATCAGCATACAGTACAGTAACTTGACAAATTTCATGCTCAAATGCATGTAAACACTTTTTTTGTACCTGCTACTCTGGTTTCTGTGCTGTCCACTTCCTGCCGTGATGACCTAAATTTCCCCCCTGTGGGACTAATAATGGTTTATCTTATCTTAATAACACTTTAATAGACATGAATACAAAACATTTGAAACAAACAAAATTATAAGACACCTTGAGTGCAGACTCCTGTGTGATTGTAATTCTAGTAAAAAGTCTGTTTTTGTACTGGCAACTTCATTAAACTCATATTTAGCTTTGTGTAATGTGTTGTGACATTAAAATCCTTCATGGTAGACTAAACACAGGTTTGCCTTGAAATTCTATGAACAGATAGTCTACCTCTAAAATTAGCTTAGAGCACTTTTTAAAAAAGTAAACACTACTTTTAAAAGCTCTCAGAGCTCTTATAATCTAACAGCTGCATTTAGTGCTTTTTTTATAAGTAAACTYGTTGGCGAGCCAGACGGAAGTCACGCGGGCTGCCCGTTACCCATCCCTCTGCTAAGTGAATGTCTCAGACAGCAGAAACCCAATGTGGATGACGGACGAAGAAAAGTAACTATCATGAAAAGATTATCTCCAACTCGGCACGTACCACCTGCAAGACTGAGGAAGTGGCTGATATCAACAAACCCCACCTGTAGCTAGGGAGGGCCAGCTCAGAGACACTAATCATGGCAGCAGAGATAAATTCAGGCTGAGGTCCACCACAACAAACAGGACCAAAAGTGCAGATTGTGCAAAGATACCCCAAAGACAATTCAACAACAGCAGGATGTAAGATGCAGGCAAGCAAAACATACCTGGAATATTATAACAAAGTGACTGAAATGGTTTTCAGGAACATATGGGCTAAGTATGGACTGATGGGGGAGAAAGACAGGACTAAGATTCTGTGAGACCTCCAGATCCAGAGCGACACTTTTTTCTTTCTTTATTTCTTTCAAACTACTCCATTTCAAAGAACTATCCCTTCTTTACCTACTTTATATTTTCTAGTTTTTCTCTCTATCTTCTTTCTGATAAATGTGTTTTGCTACTGGCTTGCTGTAGGGAAGTGAATCTAATCCAGTGTGAGATGTTCAGGGGTGGGTGTTCTGTATGTGTCAGCAGTCTAGACCAAGAGTGCAGAAAAACACAATGCAAGCATTTTCTCCAAACCTTCCAATGGAAAACTAAACTGTGGGCTTAAAACTACAATAGGTGGCTTAGGGAGTCGTGAGGAGGACCTAATGCCCCCCACAATAGACCCCCCAGTTTGTACACTAATAAACTGCTATAGGGTCTTCTCAATGTCATTCAAAGTTATTTTCTGACATTAAAACAAACATCACACGAGCACATGAAACTGTTTCAACAGTTATGAAATAAATTAGCATACATAAAGTTTTCCACTCCAAAACAAGTCTGGAAAATGTGCAGGCACCGAGTTGAAAAACATTTCTGTTGCCACCCTCGGTTATGGCAAAAGCAGATACAACTTGCCAGACAAACAGATCATAGAACCGAAGAGAAACTGTTACTGCCAGCGTTTTGTTTCCCCGCATGAAAGGACAAAAGCAGTAAGCTCAGCATAAAGCTTTCAGAGCGCTGTGGTCATGATTCCCTGTAGCTGCCCTGGTCAGCAGGACGCTCCACTGCAGATGTTCAATGCCAGGTCTGCTCTCCCCTCTCCCTTCTGCAGCCATGGGGCTTCCACCACTTTTATCTGACCTCAGCCTCCACGCCGATCCACCGAACACAATGCAAAACTCTGCCTAATCACTTCTGCCGAATCTGTACCAAACCTGGGCACATGTGGAGAATTTGAGAATTTACTGGTGTGTCTCTGCACGATGCAAATGAGGCAGAGAAAATAATATAGAGATTGAAAGTGTAAGGTTGTGAATTGTTCTGGAAAATGTTCCTGTGAAAAAAGAGTCCCTGTGCTCCACTTTTGTTGTCTCACGAGATCAGCCAACCATTTTCAAGGATCTATTTACCCACAGTCAATGATGTATTTCTGCCACTTGTAGCTTTAATCGTACTGTCAACTACAAGATATCCACTTCCTCCAAGCTGAGTGAAGCTGACACCCCATCCACGTGAAAAAATTCATCAAATAGTCAGAATGGTTAGTGCTCCGTTTGTGCAGGTTTGTGCCGTTRAAATGGTCGTTTGTGCAATTTTGGTTTCCGAGATATTAAATATTA